TAGATGATATTTTGATATTTTTTACTGATTATTATCCGAGATGTAACAAATTTTACAACTATCTTAAATATATCGGCCTATTTTTACTTCCTTCTAATCTTATAGTAGCCACCAAACTATCAGCTAGCTATCGATTAGATGATTGCTTGATGATATTTGGTTTATATTTTTGATTTCAACCAGTGTTATAAAGCCACTGAAAGAAGCAAGAAATTACTTGGAAATAGCAGTGAATTTAGCATAGAATTTTTTTTACAAGAATATTTGGAAGCGAAGATGCTCAGCTTTTAACAAATAGGAAAAAAAGAAGGTATAGACAAGAAAAAGAAGAGAAGATGAAATTCAAAAGCAGAGAGTTTGAGTCCCAACACAAAGCAGCCATGTAAAACTACTAGAGAGTTTTCTATCAGGGCTAATTTGTTTAATTGGACCTTTTTTTTAGTCACTCAAATTCTGTCAATGATCCTTTAGTTATAATATTTTGTTAGATACTATACAGTCAATTGATATGTACGTCACTATAAAGTATTCTAAATTTAAAAAATTGTATATTAGAATCAGTGTCTAACTGATTACCCCACCCTTAAACTGATTACTTTTTTTGTAATAGTATATTATTTTATTAAAGATTTGTACCAATCAAATCAACAATAAATCGATCATTTGCATATTTATTTATCATTATACTGATCATAATTATTATTAAATTACTATATATATATTATAAAATATTGAATCTCTTAGCATTACCCATTTTATTATGAATTTATCAAGCTCTCCTGTAATGACAAATACAAGTAATGAAAGTTTTAAAAATCAAAGAATATTCAAACCCTATCAATGTACTTTATACAAAGTAAAAAGATTCAAAAATATTAAAGGACTTTATTAACATAAGACCTTCTACACTATGATTACAAAATACCTCCACCTGATATTTCTCGTTTGTCTTCGAATACTATTCAGCAATTTCACAAAACTTTAATCTTTTTATTAAAAAAAATTACCACTTAATTTTAAAAAAATAGAAAAACAAACTATTAAAATTCCATGCAGTGAAAGTCAATTCGTTGGTGTGTTTGGACCATGGATTCAACATTATTTACCTTGTAAAAAGAAGTACACATGTCTTTTCAAAGGTCCAAGTGCTGATGCAACAATGTCAATGATATTACAGGATACAGAGTGGAGTAGGTGATGGTATGAATTAAATTAAAAGGCATATATTATGCTATATATTTCATCACCATCAGATATTCAAAAATTACCTAAAATGAAAGTAGAATAGTATATAGAAACAATAACTGATACTTGACAAAATACGATTTCTACAGGATTTATTATTATTAAATTTCAAGTTGATACTATTAGCTATCAAATTCAAAGGTAAATAAATATTATTTTATTAATTTATTAAGCATTATTAAGTCTAATTTTATTAATTATTAAGTGTTAATAAGTCTAATTTATTAATTTTTTAAAGAATAATGTAGTTTTAAATATATATAAAATTAATACTTCTCTAGCCTAATGTAAAAAATATGATCATTGAAAAAAATTACAAAATATTATTTAATAAAATATACTTAGATTTTTTAAAAGATAATGGTATTCTGTTTTTAAGATAATATAATAATCAATTCTCTTGTTATAATATTGCTAAAATTGAGGAAGATTGTGTTTTATTTCCACCATCTCTTAAAGTTTTATTAAAAAAGAACATTGTTTGTTGATGATTCTTTTTTTCGATTGGAGCACATGAAAATGCCCAAATTCTTAACATGCTATGATTCTGAATTATATTTGGAATATGATTATAAAGAAGATATATATAAGGTATAATGTTAGATGTTTTATAAAGTCCTTTAATAAATGTTGAAGTATTTGGTATTTCAGATGATGAAGTTAAAAATAATTCCATCCATGTTTTTACTTCATTCTCAAACACATCACCAGTAGTTTTTATATTATTTAATAATTTATAAAGTTGATAAAATTTATTTCAAAGTTGTCGAATTAGTATAGCTCTTTGTTGATTAAAAATTTTTCTAAAATTAAATTTACGAAATATTTTAAGCTTTTTATCACCTGTTAAGGACATAAAATTCCATATACGTGAATTGTGTTCTTGCCAGAAACAAAAACTAATACCAATCTATTTCATTTCTTCAGATATAGTATTTCTAATTATATTTCTAGTTGTATTATTGTTAATATTAACCTCAGCTATTACCAAACTTCACAAACGATTAGTAACTCTAAGTAATATATGTAGCTTATCCAGAATCTAGTTTTCTAAAGGTATCATAAAAAATAATGGTTGTTGAATATGCCCAGGGCAAGAGCTATGATTATTTATTAACATTTCCATATTTTTTTGATCCCAATATTTATTAAATAATTTGATTTCCTTTTTAATACATTTACAATAGAGATAAAAATATATTGCATTAACGGTATTTAACCCAAGGCATAGAGCAAGAAATTTCTAATCTGATGAGAAATAAAGTTTGATATTTTACTTATTGCCCCACTTATCAACAATTCCATTATGCAAAATATCTTGTAAGTCTTAAATTAATGGCATTAGAACTTTTGTAAAATTTGGTAATCTTCGATACCAGAGTATAAAACTATAGTATAATATCGTTCAGGTATTTGAAGATTATCAATGTCATTAAGAATTGAATATGTTATTATAATATGTTTAATTTGACATCCCACATTTTTGCCGTCTCCTGATATTCATAACATAATTAAAGGATTACTAGGATTTAATATATTTTCTTCGATATAAAATGGAATAATATACTTTAAAATATCTTTGATATGTCTGTAACTGGCTTTTTCAATTGATTCACTTATACCATGAATTACCTCTTTGTTATCAATATGAATTTCATCATTACTTGTTGCAAATATTGCTGTGTTATTAATATTAATATTCATAATATAAATAGGTATAATACTTTGCATCAGCTTATCAATATTAACTTTTTCATTACTAATTGTATATTTCCAATTTAATTCTGAAGAAACTTTTGCTATAGACTAAAATACATCTTGTGAAATATAGTTATAATCCATTGCACGAATATATGTTTGCCTTTTTAATTTTTCTAATAGATTATCTTTTGAATAATCTACTATCCAATCTTAACTATCAACTGACAAAGTAAGTGATTTTATTTAAACTTGATCTTTATGATATAAATATGTTGTTTCATTGTTTATAAAATCATTACTTTTTCACCAATTTGCTTGATTTGATATCTATTTCTCAAATTACTAAGTGTTTCAAGAGGACGAAGGATATTAGATCGATAATGAGTATCTCTAGTTTGCTCTACATATTTAAGTTGTAATCTAAAGACTATAGGTTCAGAAAGTGTTAATGTTTACTTAGAATTATATATCTTATATTAAAAAAAAAATTTTTAATCTTTATTTATATATTAAAAAGTTCTTTTAAAAATTTACCTATACAAACAAATTTGCAGTATGAGTTGTGCTTTGCCAAGACTCAATTGTCTGAGGTTCATCTATGTCATACTTAATTTTAAAGCAAGGTTTTAATTAAGTTTTACTATTAATATCTTGATACTCATAATTAATAGTATATATAATATTTCACATTTTATTCCATTTTGCTCAGCTAACTGCAACTTTATAATCATTGGGAATTCTATAACATTTATTTTTTTTTTTAAGTTTTGATAAGAATGGATGGTGGTGGATAATATTCTTCAGAAATAATAATATAATAGTAAGTGCCAGTAGCTGGATCTTTATATTCAATTTCAAATTTTCTAGGATAGTCGTAAAGTTCTATTAAATCTTCTTTGGCTTCGTTATTATCATTATTATTATTATTTGCTATTTTAAATCAAATGAAAGATCGATATAAAATAAATGATAATTTGAATAACTTTAAATAAAAGTATGTTTATAATGATTAAAAATATACTTCATAAAATGACGTAATATGTAAGCATTAATACAAAGTAGCAGCAACCTAGTATTCAAAAAACTGAGTTGTATAAATCGAATAAAATATATATATTGTACCCTAAATGACAATCCTGTCCCAATTGCCAATTGGGACAGCCCAAATTAAAATTGGCCAAATCTAATCTTAATATCTGGGCTAATTAATTTATAATTTTGGCCAGATTGTCATCTGGAAAAATTGTCATTTGGGCTACAACATATATAAAAATTAGACAAATTACTCTGTTAATTGAGTATTAAAACCGTTGTTAATTAATTCAAAGCAATTATCATTGCTTTTGACTTATTTTAATTAAATCAACTCTAGTATCTCATCTATATAAAAATGCAGTTATTAAAAGTATTTTAAGTTTCACAGTTTTATTCAAAGCAATTATCATTACTTTTGATTTATTTTAATTAAACCAACCCCTAGTATCTCACCCATAAAAAAAATGCAGTTATTAAAAGTATTTTAAGTTTACAGTTTTATTTAATTTTGCAAATTTTAATTTTAATTTTTCATCTGTATTTCTATTTTAATATACTGCTAATAAACAATGATATGTAATATATTTGTCAAATAACAATCTAGCCCTAACTAATCGGTCAATGTTTTTTAAATTTTGGGGTTTAAAAAAATTAGCCCTAATGTGGTTGATCAAGACCAAACCAAGGTGAAGATAAAGAAAAAAAAAGAAAAAGAAAAAAAGGAGGAAAAAAAACAAAAAAAGCATCTTGGTTTGCATCAATTAAAAATTACATTGTAAATAAAGCAAAACCATTTTGGTATAATTTTGTAGGCTAGCTTGGTACAGCCCCCCAGTACAGGCATAAGCTTTATTTGATAAGGCAAACTGCTCTTAGGTACTTCTAGAAGTAGCTGAGAGATATTGGATCTGTAGCTTAGATAGTTAATATATGTATATATATGCTTTGATCAAATAAAGATACTGGTGAGGCTGCCAACATGTTAAAAAAAAAAAAAAATATATATATATATATATATAAATTAAAAGTCTAAAACAATTTTAATTTGAGAACGCAAATCATTAACTCTTCCCAACGATCACTTGTACCAAATTTTCTCTAAAAATAATCACTCTATTCTCTAAATTCTACTAAGTAAA